AAACTTGATGTATAACTATCTGGAAATCTTTTCACTCAACAGAGAGGACACATTTTTCCCCCAGATATTCACAGACTACCCAAAAACTCTCATGCAAAAGGCCACAAAATGGCTGTAATAAATTCAAAAAAAAACCCAGTATCATATAGAGCTTTTGATCTAATTACAATTCAGTAAATTAAAAAAAAATTAGCAAGTGACAACTTTCAAAATTCCATATAACTATAAACTAGAGAACATATCACCAGGAAATGCAATGTAAATGTAATATGAAGAAAAAGACAAGAACAATTGTGAACACTTACAGTTAAATAACAATGAAAATTTATAGGTCAAATTCTGGAAGTAAAGAAATTTTACTCCAGAGAGAAGAGTTTTCATTTTAAATACATTTATTGGAAACCAAGAAAGATTTAAATAAACGAGGTAAGTGACTACTCAAAGTGCTAGTAAAAGAGTGACCAAGTAAACCAAGGAAACAAGAAGGAAATAATAAAAGATAACAGCAGGGAATGCCAGTTAAAGATGGGGGATTGGATGTGTGCCTTTTATCCATCTCCTCCATAAACCCCATAAAACAATGGCGAAGGGATCTTTTGAGGCATAAATCTATAAAGACAAAGAGCACAGAGGATGAAAGAATAGCAATAAAACTTCAGATGATGAAAAACAGAATAAGTATTAAATGACTTAGCAAACTAAGGAAGAGAATCCTAAACTGGTAGCAGAGAAATTCGAGAAACTTTCATTTGTCTCACAAAACCTCCCTTACACTCAGATGTTTTCAACACCTGCATCCCTAAAAGTGAGGGTGAAGGTGGAGCCGAACAAAAACAAAAGATGACTGATTAAGACTGTTTATGAAGCAGATGTCTATAGGCCCTTGTTCATTCTGTGTAAAACTCCTTACCCCACCCAACAGCAGAACTGGAAGCTTACTCTCTAGAGATAGTGAAACAAAGATTCCCAGACTTCGGGAGCACCAAGTCTTGTGGAAAAAAGAAATGGCATGCTGCAAATAGTGAAATTAATGCAAGGTTTACATACTGAATTTGAGATCTCCATTCCTCTCTCCACTTTATTACTTAGTGAGGGATGCTAATAGCCCAGCCTTAGAACATTGCAGCTGGAAATTAGAAGATTTGTCTCTGAGAAAACTGAAAGACCAAAGAGGAGAGCCATTAAGACACTGATATTGCAGCCTGCCTGATAAGACAGCCAGCTTAGGTGACACTAAACCCCACAGTTGACAAGTTCCAACCATGAACACAGAGCCTCCAATCATCTTGACAAAACGTAACTCTTAAATATGACCAGGCATTAGGGATGAGTGAGATGAGAAGCAAGTTGGAGGAAAAAGAGATTTGAAAGGAGAAGAAAACTAAACAAAGAAACAAACAAAGCTATTATTACTTTTAAAGAGGTAAGATAAGATATTGCATCCATGAATCAAGAACAAGATTTCAGTCACAAAGGGACAATGAGAGAACATAATAGAGATCTTGGCTATGAAAATTATAATAGTCAACATAAAAATGCAACTTGTGATCTGAAATTAACACTGGGGAAATCTATAGGATACTAGAGTAGACTAAGAGAAGAGATGACTAAAGGATCAATTGCTGAATATTAGCTAAAATCTATTAATTGAAAATACTATAAAGACCCATAGACATCTAAAACAATACCAGGGGAAGAAGCAAAGTTATTGTCTCTCATGACAACTGTGTAGCAGTGAACACCAGTGGAAGAGAATACAGAGCCCAGGAAGAGTTTATATGGACTATTTATATGGACTCTGTATTTAATTCAGGTTGACACCACTCATTAAATCAAGAAAGAGATACACATGCATATACATAAAACATTGTGTATTTTTCAATTATATACATATAATGAATGACAAACGTGGATTGAAAAGACAAATTTGGTTGAACCACATGAACTTGCTGATATTTGACAGTTTTTGACCTACATAAATATCAATTTCATAAAGTTCAATCCAATACACTAAGTGATGAATGATCACTTGTGAAGGAAGAACAGCTATAGAGGAATGGACTAAAGAATATAATAAAATGAAAGGATGGCCTTTTCTGGATGTGTGAGAAGCTATGAACTGGAAATAACTCAGTTGTATACACCAAGAGGTAATGATGGTGGTAGGTTTGTAGACTCACTTACAAAATTATAACAAATGGGAAAAATCTTGGTAGATGGAATTCAAAGTTGTTATGGAGAACACAGATACATAAGAAATGATAAAGCTGTTTGGGGAGAGGAAGAAATATTTTAAAAATAAATAATTATAACTAAGAAAGGGTAAAATTAGCTAAGTAGGCTTTTAGTGAAAAACAACAACAAAATGGATAAATCTCAGAGGACAAAAGGAATATTAAATACAAGAATTTTTAATAACACTTCAGGATACTCCCTAACCAAAACAAAAAGACAGACTGTCACACTTTCCTCAATGAGCTAGTGGTGCTGGTGAAAGCAAGGCAGATGTCCAACACTTTTTTTTTCCTCCTCCTTCCTCCAGCCCAGCATACTCAGCATTGTGTCCAATACACGCTAAGTTCACAAAATGTGCTTGATGAAATCTAGTGGGAGGGGGTGATTGTAAATGATTTCATTTTTCCCCTTGAGAGGGATTTTCCTTTCAATTGCACAATTCTTAAACTCCAGATTTAGAAAAAGACATGGGCTTCCTTCCCATATTTTTCTGGGTAAGAGTGATTTCTCTTGCCCTCTTCAACAGACACTTATGACAGTGAAAATTAAGCCTGTAAATTACATATATTAGACTTGATCATGACATGATACATCTTCTACTTATAATTTAGGTGATCTTATATAATGTGCCAGACAGTAATGTTATCATTATTTACAGAACCTTGAATGCAGCAGTAATCATCAATCTAAATGTCCGTACATTATTTTTAACAGAGAAGCACAGTGATCTATTCCAGGTTAGTGCACGGTGAGGAGGACGGAGGGATCAAACCAGGAGACAGAAATAGAGATGTCTCTGTAGCTACAATAGCGATCTTCTGCGTGCTCTCCTATTCCCCACCCCTCCTTGGACCACTCTTTCTTACTTTGGTGACCCATTAAGTCAACTTCTTCAAGTATCTCTTTACAGTTAATCCTTTACAATGCTCACAAATAAAGTGAAAGGTGTGGTAAATTACCAAGGACATTAATTATACAAGCAGCATAAAATGTCTGCACATCATACTCAATAATCTCTCAAATGAAGACTAAATTGTTGTGCTGAGACTTACCCATACTGAAACTCAAGTTCTTTAACAGTTTTAATAGGTTTTAACATTTAACATTTGCTTAAATTATTACTTTGTTGATATAAATAGCATGTTTATTTACTCTAGCCCAGCCATAACTGAAAGAGGAAGCTTCTAAAGGCAAAATACTCAATTATATTCTATACCAGGAATCTATGAATCATAACATAATAATTGAGGGAAGTGTCTTCCATTAGTCTCAGAGTCGCTGTCCATTTGCAGCACGAGACCAAAATGATAAAGCTGGATAGCTCTTGAGGCCCTCCTGAGTCATTTTGGTGTATAAAACCAGACTGAACATCCTGAGTATCTGACCTTTCCCAGTTTTGTGTTCAAAACCACTCTCTGGCCATGACAGAAAATGTGAATGCTCATAAATACCTTTTGACTGAATCAAATGAGTCTAACTCTTTCAACTATTTACATACAGTTTACAGCAGCACAGATAGTTGTTGATCTTCCTTACCTTTAAGAAAAATAATAATGCCCCAAAACATTGTGAATTCTCTGAACATCTACTACAAACATATTAACCAAAAATACAAATGAATTTGTTTTCTAATTAGTGGGGAATTTACCTGGGCCATTTCTTTTTACATATCACACATATACTTTTCCGTGTATAAATAATAAAGTTCTAAACCTACAGATTTACAAATTACAAAAGGTGTTCAGGGGCGCCTGGGTGACTCAGTCGGTTAAGTGTCCGACCTCGGCTCAGGTCATGATCACATGGTTTGTGAGTTCAAGCCCGGCGTTGAGCTCTGTGCTGACCGCTCAGAGCCTGAAGCCTCTTTTAGATTCTGTGTCTCCCCATCTCTGCCCCTCTTTTGCTTATGCTCTGTCTCTCTCTCAATAATAAACAAACAGCAAATAAATAAAGGTGTTCTTATTCCAGAGCCAGAGGAAAAAGGTAAGAGAAGAGCATCCACTACCTTGAGGAAGTTAAATATATGTTGAACATTCTTTCAATTAAGGTCTCATTACATAAAATTTAAGATGAAATTTATAATAAATTTACAGAATTGATATTATGTAAATACATTTTCAGAAAAAGATATGTACATTCAGGCGCTGCTAATTACTAGTTATATGATCTTTGGCAGTGTACTTAATCTCTCCAAACCTTAGTTTTCTGGCCTATGATATAGAGATAATAACAATTACTTTAGGGGATCATGGTAAAGTTCAAAGGAAAGAATGAATGTTGAAGTAACTTGTTCATTTTAGTGTCGTATACATGACCTTCTATGCACCCAGCACTAAATTTTTAAGTTTAGAGAAAATGTGAGAAGAATGCAAGGTAGAATCTCTTCCTACAACAATCCTAGTACCTACTTGGGATCAGGAAGTAATAAGAAAATGAGATGAAACTGCATAAAACTAAGTTGTATGGTCCAGGCTATGTGTGCAATAACAATTTTAAGAAGGGAGAACTTTAAATGGGCTGGAAATTCTGAATATATTCTTTCCAAATGGTACAGGCTAAGCTTTGCCTGAACAAAGAAGCAAAGATATCTAACAGCTGCTTACCACTCTCTGTTGCTTAAAATATCAGAGGAGTACGAGGTTTAGGCAGCTCTGAGGGCTGAGTCATCTTCCTCCTAACTTGGTATTTATTCAGGACGCAGCCCTCACCCTGATGACAACAGCATTCCTGACCTCTGAGCAGCTCAAAATGCTAAGATGGTTTTGAAGGTGAAATAGACACCTCATCCAGATTCCCGGGTGGTTACGGTTCCCAGTTACACGCAGCCTCTCCGTTGTGTCGCGGTGCTTGTTCCAAACCAGAGAGGTCTCGACAGCTGAAGAAGAGGAACTAAGGGCAACTGAGAAATAGCCGAGATTTTCTTCTCATGATGATGCTCAAGGCTCACAGCTGAGGTAATTATAGAAAGGACTGGAGCATGAGCCTCTAGCATGTACCTTTGTAGCTGGTGTATCATCCAGTGTGTTGGTGTCTCTTCTCCCCCCTGGGGACTAAGTACATGGCTATAAAATTGAATCCCATTTAAATATCATCGCATTTTATATTCAAGTAACCTGGGGAGTATTTTGTTTTCATTTTTTTAATGTTATATTTATTTCTGAAAGAGAGAGAGAGCAAGCAGAAGAGGGTCAGAGAGAGAGGGAGACACAGAATCTGAAACGGGATCCAGGCTCTGAGCTGGCTGTCAGCACAGAGCCCGACACAGGGCTCGAACCCACGAACCGCGAGATCATGACCTGTGCTGAAGTCGGACGCTTCACCCACTGAGCCACCCAAGGGCCCCAACCTAGGGAGTATTCCTGAAACGTCCCCTGTTCTTCCTTCCCCGGAGTATACCTTCTGTTGGAGCCAGAGGAAGGTAGAGCTTCGAGGCTCAGTGTTAGGTAAGGTGCCTGCTCAGGCCGAGGTGGTCGGCCCGGGCTACGTGGGTAGGCTTCTCCAGGGCTCCATTTTCCTGCCTGCTCTTCCTCCTTCAGCTCGTTGAAGTTTATTTTGGAATTATGTTTTCTATTCAACCTAAGAAATACTCTTAATTTTTTTAATTACTTAAGCAATTATTTTATTGTGGCAACCTCAGAAAATAAAAATAAAAGGGGAAAAATTTTTTTAAAGATTTAATCAATTCATTTCAGTTGCTCAAGTTCTAGGAGGGTCTGTTTTTTCTTTACATTTATTTATTTTGAGGGAGAGAGAGAGCATGCACATGCAAGCAGGGACGGGGTAGAGAGAGAGAAATTGAGAGAAAGAGAGAGAGAGAGAGAGAGAGAATCCCAAATAGGCTCTGTGCTGTGAGTGAGGAGCCCAAAACAGGGTTTGATCTTATGAATCCTGAGATCAGGACCTGAGCTGAAATCGAGAGTCAGATACTCAACCCAGCGTGACAGCCAGTTGCTCCCATGAGAGCCTATTTTGAACAAAGCTCTGTATCAGATACATGAAATTTAACAAGGGCGATAAAAGATTAAAAGATAGTTATTGTGACAGACAATCTCACATGTATTTTAGGTTCTCATCTCATCTAGTACTATGTGTAAAGAGGGCTTTTGTCATTATTTTTCCAGGTGAGGAGGTGAAGGCCTTGTTAGGTTCCATAACTTGCCCAAGATCCTACAACTTATAAACTATAGAGAGAAAATTTAAACCCAGAAAATTCTAGCTCTAAAGCCTGTGCTCTTTATACTTAAGTTGTCAGGGGGAGAAATAGCTCAGGAGTTCTAACATTTCCACTATTCTAGATGATACTGACTCCTTCCTTTCAGAAGGGAAGAGCTACGGAGGGGTAGGCTAAAAAGAGATTGAGGCCATTGGTGGAGAACTTTGTTACAGGTCATCACTTTGTACCCAGTTATGTCAGCAATGGGGAGTTACCAGTGGCTGACTAAATATGGAGGTGTTAAGCATAGTCCTGGGCTCAGGGCAATAGGTGTGTGTGGTGGGGACCCCTTTTATAGATTATTTTGAAAAACAATAATAAAACCCAGTCATTCTGATTTTAATCATCACCTTGTGCCTAAAATTCCAAACAAGGAAGTGATCAAATATCCCTCCTTTTCAAAAAAATAAAAATTTTCCTCTTTTCCTCTTAAACAATTGCTGCCATTAATGTTGAGTTTTAAAAATACACTGTAAGGTTTCAATTATCACATTCTAATTATTTATCCTTTACTAAGCACTGTGTTCTTCTACATGGAAGTTATTTCCACAAACTCACAGTTATGCAGTTAGCCCCCAACACACTCTCAACTGCCTGAATCCAAGAGTAAATTGGGAATTTTTGAGTTTGCCTTGGGCAGACACAGCTGGGATTGTTAAGTTAAAAAATCAGAACTTAAGCAACTTCACTATGTCATTGTATGGGATCACTTGGAGCTTTCTATTTTTTTATTTAAATGAAAAACACAGGTGTAATATTTTTTCCTGAAAAGTGCAAATTTGAGCTCACGCATAAAATATTCTATGAATCTGAGAAATCTTTAAAATTAAAACCACCCATTTTATTTGTTGTAGGAAAAGATTAAAAAAAAAACCATGTTGATTATTATTTACTACATGAAAATAATTTTGTCACATGGTGGAAAGGGTGTTACAGAAATGACCCTGTCAAGGTGTCAAATATGTTAGGAATGCCACTGGGAGTCACTGAATGTTTTTAATGGGATGAGTCACAAGAATGGTCACAGTGAATCATAAAAGACACCACCATTATATCTACATGTGCTTGTAGGTGCATCTAGTTACCTATACGTTGTAACTGTAAGAGGGAAAAAGCAAGGTACGTGTTGTCAAGACAATACAAATATTAGTTATGGAGGTTATTCTGGCTTGGGGTCTTGATGGGCTGCTATGTTTTCAGGGTAGAATATCAATTCTACCTCCAGCTAGTCTGCTCTTGAAAGCAGACAGTTCTCATTTTTAACTGCCAGGAGAGAATACTGCATTTCAAGGAGTCCATAGGAAATAAGACAATTTGGAGGTTTTTGTCACCCAAGATCTTGGGAAATGTCTGCTAAGAAAATCATTCCTTAGAGGTTTCTGTTAAGGATGCACACTTGTCATGACTTGTGCTGTTGTTCACAATATTCCATGCACGTCCCTGTGGGAGGATTATACTTCTCCATCCTATAGAGGACTGGCCTGGCTCCACAGCCAACTTACTTCAGCTGGTAAAATGTCAGCAGATGTAACAAGGCTTTGGGGGCAGTTTTAAGAGTCAGTGTGTGGTTTGCTGTGGTTTTTCCCCAGCCTCTGTGATCACGAAAGCATGGAGCCGATAATCACTTGGGTTCCTGGATGACTCCAATGAGCATTACTCTTTTGTCAAAGTGTGATAAATATATAGCATGGACAAGAAATAAACATTAACATTTTTGGTGGCTAAGACTTTCTTGTTGGTTATTTGCCACCACTACACCAACTAGCCCAACTTACTCGATAGAGCAGTCCTTCAACTTGGGCACATCCTCTCAAATCTATACCCGAATTTAGCCAGACAGGGAAAAATTACATTCATGGAACTCATTGTATAGATATCAGTAGAATTGCTTTTACTGCATAGCGGTTGATGTGACATTCATTTATATTGAAAGACACTATAAACATGCCTCGTAAAACTCATCCCAGTCCACATGGGATGTTGTCATGGCTTAGGGGCATTCTGCTGATGTAACTTGCTGAACAACCTCAAAAGAGGCTCTAAGCTTCCTGGAAATCAACCTGAAAAAGATTAACTTGATCAAGTTTACAACATGAAGCATTTAAAAGACAGAAATCAACATTGATTTTGCTCAGAAGAACGTTAAGAATCCTTAACACAAAGCCCAGGCAGAGGAGGAAAATGTTGAGCCAGGTCTATTCATCACTATTCCTTCAAACCTTCCCTTATCACGCTTTCCTCCCCCTCCTCCCTTACATGATAAAAAAAAAAAAAAAAAAAAAAGAATCTAGCAATTAAAATGTCTGGCCCAGAGAGACAGAGAGCTCAGCCCCAGCCCATACCTAAAATTGGGCCTCTGGACCCCTAAGGCTTCATTCTGGTTTAGGTGCAGATCTGCCATTTGTTGACAGACCCTTTCCCAGCACCAAGTATGTTGGGGTCACTGGGAAAGAGGAAACTTATGAATAAATTTGAAAGGGGGTCTGAAAATTTAGATGAATGCCAAAGGAGTCCTTTGTGAATAAAATTAAGCAGTCATTGCCATAGAAGACAAACATTTTAACTGGCTCTGCTTCACAGCTACCTCCCAAGGTTTCCTCCAGGAGGCAGAGGCATGGGTCTGTGTTAAATGGCTTAATTTTCTTAATCAACTATTTCATTGTGAGTTTTTAATTTCATTCCCATGCTTATTTTTTTTTTCATTTTGCCATAATACAGCTCTAAGTACCGTGGCAAACATTTGACAGTTTGCTCAGCAGGTGCTGGGCTCTGCAGGGCTCACAGAGCTCTACCTTTTATTAATTGGGTTTCAAAATGTGTTCCTGTGTGAACAGAAGCTAAGATGGGACTATTGTACCTGTCAACATGAAGCTGGGCGAAATAAAATATTTGGAATGTGTTTTAAAATAACTCATTGTGAGCTTGATCGGTTGAGAATTTAAAAGCAGAAATATTCTTTAATGTTGAAATAAATAATCGTGCAATCAAAATGGCAATAAAATTAAAGAAACGATGGGGTTTGTTCAAGGTGCTTCAGTATTTGATAACAATGAGAACATTCTCTTTATGCCCAATAGGTTATGCATTGAAAAGATAGTTCTGAAAAAGATTTTTAATAAAAACTCTAGTAGCCTGGGGAGTTAGTACCTACTTTGAAAACCAACAACGAAGGCTCTCTAAATACTGCTGATGGTGCCAATTTAATTTTGGGCTCAATTTGGAAGGTTTTCTCCCCTTATCAAGAAAAGCTCTCAATCTGAAATTTCAAATTTCAGTCTAAAAGAAGCCTTCGCAAGCAGTGATACTCTGGGAATGTGTCTCTCTTTTGGTGAAGCAGAACTATCTTTGTGACTCTTTTCTCCCTTTTTCATATACGCGCTTCAAATTCATTGAACTTTAATGACATGTATTCTAAGACTCCCACTCAGGGCAGAAGACAAAAGGGAGGGAAAGGGAACACCGTAAAAGTTGACCCAAAAAATTCGGGCCCTCTCTTGTCATTATTACCGGCCTTTCTATCATTAATTTTGCTCAACTCTGAAATAATGAATGTTCTCTGTGTCCTCGCAAGGGACTGTCTATAGGCAATTCCCCCAAAAGGGGCTGTGTCCTCAATTTTAAGCATGGGGAAAATAAAGATGAAGCCACAACAATCATAAGACGAAAGCTTAAAGAATTATTATACATATATTCACACGCACATATATAGTCATGTTTGTTTCTGATTTAAAAAATAATGAA